TAGCAGCCTCCTCTTTTCCATCAAGTAGTGCTAGCATGCCTCAGGAGAGATCATAAAAATACTCACAATCTAGTGTCACCATCACGAGAGCAACCAGCAAACCCTTTTGGTGTGCTGAAGACCACATTGAAGACCTGGGCACTCCATTGTTTGAGCTGTAGCATATTTACACCTCAGCACGCGCAGAAAGCGAGCTGTCCCAGGAGAAATACGGAGAGCTAGGAATAAGAAAAGCTGGGAGAGCTCGTTTCAGTTCGCATTAACTTCCTAATTAAGGTAAGAAATAGCCACACCTAGGGAATCCTCTTTTTTCTTTGCTTTTTCAGCATAACAGTCCTGTAACCTGTCTTGGAATAGATATTCCCTTGACTCAGGGATGTGCAGTTGTTTTGCGTCGGAGAACTGATGGGCTGGTATTTTCCATGCTCAGGGAGAACTGAACTTAGCTGTGGACTAACTCCTTTTCATCCTCTGTCGGCTACGACGACAGCCAGGAAGAAACTAGTCCAGCTCAAAAATACATCTGAAGAGCTGCAAAGAAATTTGGTGATTTTTTTTTTTTTCCCCTGGTGTGGAAGCATTTGGAAGAAGTTGTGCATTCCAAATTTGGACTGTTTTGAGGTGATTACACAGCTCTAGGCCAAGTTATAAAACATTCTCTATGAAGTAGCTGATCTGACTGCAGGAGTAAGTCAAATGGAAAAGCCCACGTCTCAGTAGGTTTAAAGTCCTCCGTTCAGATATCCACTACAGCTGGAGCATATTATCAAGAAGAAAAAAAATCTCTTCTGCAGAGAAACAGGCTAGTATATTCTCCCACAGAAGATATTTTTAGTACCTGGAATTTTTGTACCGGAGTCCTTTCTGACTACAAGATGCATTACCAGTGTACCTGGCAAAAAGCAAATAAGGACAATCCAACAACGAAGGTGCCCAAGTGAAAAGGTTTTGCAAAGCCAGCATGCTCTTAGGGGAGGCACCTCGGCGTTTTTGGTCAGTCCAAGGAGTCATACGCAAGGTTGGTGGAATTAGCTCATAGCTTTGGCCTCCACAGTAAAATGAGACGTGTTTTCTTTTTCTTTTTGATTTATTGGCTATAACAGTTGGAGTTTTCCACTACCTTGTGTGAGGGGTTGCAAGGAAGGTGCAAATCAGAAACTCGAGTTGCTCTAAAAAATTTTCCTGTCTGCCCAGGCTTGCCAAGGAGCACGGCTGTAAGCCAAAGGACCTGCTAGAAGTGTGGACAAGATGGGGTGGGACACTTGGCCACATTCCTGCCTTGCCCTCTGCCCCCTTGATCCTTCAGCTTTTCCCCTCTGAACACCTAAGCAGAAGAGATTAAAAAGCTGAAGGATGTTTATGGCATCCAGTCATTATTAGCCAGCTGGATTGAGTTGAATATAATGAACTACTAATTACTAATCAACTCAAGGTACCGACCCTGCCTACAAGAGGCAGGCCATTTCCTCCTGGCTGCGGAAGATGCAACAGTGTCCCTGGTGCCGCAGCCCAGGCTGGTGAGCAACAGGATGTGATGCCCTTCCACCAGCAGGGCAGTGTGGTGTAGATTTGCCACACTGAAAGGGGACAACCCTTGAAGAAATACCCATGTTGAGAGACAAGCTGCTGCAAAGCTCAACGGAAAACATAAGCTGAACAAGAAAAACGCACCAGGACACCCGGAATGACTGCCAGGAGATGCATTGGTGGGAGAATTAAGGGGGCAAAACATCTTCTACAGCAGTGACTTAGTGCCAGACTGTCAGAGGTCCTGGGGAAACTGGTTTATCTGGGTGCTTTCGAAGGGCAGCAGTCTCACCAGAGAGAGAGTGGATTTCGGTCTTCATTGTCACCGCGACGAGCGCGGAGGGTGTGTGCGCAGCAGCATGTGCTTTCGATAAAGCTGCAATTATTGTTCTCATCGTGCTTCCATGAGTACCCCGGGGTCTTGTACAAAGCCACCAGACGTACAGCAACACAAAAAATCCCCTCCCGGCCTCCACCATAAAAATCTCTTTTCAGAGGCGGTGCCAGCAGCAGGCAGCATCGCGGCGGCCGGCAGCGCCGTGGCAGCCCGGCTCCTTGGAGTTCTCACACTGCTCCGATGGCTCGTTAGCAACGGTTTCCCCTCCAGCTAGGAACAGCTCTCAAGTCACACAAAGCAAAATTGTTGTGAATCCTCTAAAACCCAGTGACAAATGCGGTGGTGGCTGTTCTCCCTGGCTGGGAGCTCTGGCTTTATCTGTCAAATAAAGTCTGTCCTTAAATGTATCGTGCGTCGAGCCGGGCTGTGCAGCTCCTGGCATCTTTGGGTGGGTTTGTGTTTCCAGATAAGAGTCCAGGGAGGTCTTCTAATCCTCTTACCATGATGATGTGAAGTAGCCCAGCTGGAAACTGGAGTTAAGGGAAGTTGAAGCGCTTGAAAAAAAGCCACACTTGTTCGGGATAAAGTAGAGAGCTCCCAAAGATGAAAGTGCAAACCAAAGGCCACGTCTGACCGATAGCCATGTGTGCAGAGGACAGCCCACCGTGTGCACGTTTATCTGTCCCTGGTCAACCCTGCAGCCCTCTTGATAGCTCTTCTCAGCCTTCTCTTAGGTGGAACTCCACTGATTTCACTGTCCCTCTGACATCCACAGGGTTCGATGTACTGCAACAAATGGGGGGTGCCTACTGTCACCTCATCCTAGACTTACTTCAGTCAATGGAAGCTCAATAGGTCCCACAATGGGAGGAAAAGGTTGCTTAGCCAGGAGTATAGTTGACCTCCAAGTACAGTTCTAGCCAGTTCGGCTTTCTGAGTTGGCAGTGGACTGTGGGTAGTTGCAGAGTTTCAAAATGCAGAGCTTTATAGGAGAAAACGTTGGAATGGGATGAATGCTGCCCAGGTAAACTACATTTATTGCACAATAACCAGAATACCTAGATTTGAACTCTAATCCTGGCAGGGCTGTTTGCAAAGGCTGTGGCTACCCCATCCGAAGCTTATCCCAGTTCTTCTCCCTGTGCCTGCTCTTTTGATTTGATTTTTATTTTGTAACTATTGACTACCACCTCAAGAAGACAGAACTGAGTTCCTTGTACTATTAAAAGAAAAAATAAATGCAGAGTAGCAAGTATCTCAGAAGATGTTCTGATTTTCAAGATCAGCTGGAACAGGTTGCCCAGAGAAGCTGTGGCTGCCCCATCCCTGGAAATGTTCAAGGCCAGGTTGCATGAGGCATTGGGCAACCTGGTGTAGTAGAAGGTGTCCCTGCCCATGGCAGGGGGGTTGGAACTGGAATCTGGAAGGTCCCTTCCAACCTAAACCATTCTATGATTCTATGATTTTCTTTCAGCAGTGGGATCTGCAGCATTACTCCATGTAGCTTCCCTGATGGCAAGCCACAGGGGTACTTGGATAGGTGTTTTGGTGTCCGACACAAAGATACCTGAAGGCTTGTTGACACACCAAGATCAACAGGCACAGTTAAAACAGTACAGGTCAATACAAAGCAGGTGAAGTTATCAGGCTGTTTCTTTGAGAAATAGATGAGTTTGTTGTTGCCCGAATTACAGGTGGGTAAATTCTGCTCATCTGAGCACCTCCTGACGGGCGTGTTCTGACAGCGCCTTCTCACATCAAACGCAGAGATGTTTTAAGATGCGTTTACACTGTCTGACTGTAGCTCGTGCCCCAAATAGTTTTGTAGCACAGCTTCCCAGTGAAGAGCAAGATTTGTTCTTCTTTAAGGGAAAGATGTATCTGCGGTGTAACTACTCTGTACCACAACAGGACCTCGCTTTCTTGGTTTTATTTTCTGTTACTCCCCGGCGGTTCTTCTATCTGTGCATGTTTCATGCATGAGCATTTCTGCTGGCTTTCTGCAACTGGTAACTGCAGCTCCTGTTTCCTGAGCAGCTTTTCACGTGCAAAAGCGTAAGACCACGTTGTCCTGGATGTGGGTGTGCAGGCTGCTGCGTTCAGTGGCCCGGCTTCAGAGGAAGCCAGAGAAGCCACGTGAGCTAGCTCACCGGCACCGAATGTGGGGCAAGCAACCTCAGCATCTGCCCTGCGTGCAAGCAGCCGCCGTGGAATAACTGATCTTTTGCAAAAGGCCCCACGCTCAGGCTGCAGTCAATGGGCTGTGTCCATCCTGCCTGCTTCTGGCTCACAGCGCCGTGTGCTTAAAGCCCGCTGCGTCCGTCCGTCGTGCCTCTTGCAGCAGAGCTCAAGAACAAGCCGATCCCGTGCCCGCGTTGTCCTGGAAGAGTCGCGTGTAGTTCCCTGAGCATCCTTTCGGCAGCTCTGCCACTGCTGCTGCTCCGCCCATGCCATCCGCTGCTGGGTCATTTGCTCAGAGTCAGGAGGCTGTGCCAGCTTACCCTGTGGCTGGGAAACCCCTCCTTTCCCGGTGTGGAAAGGAGGGTGCAGGACGGATCGGTGACTGCCAGCGCTGCAAACACACACAGCTGGCAAATGCCAGGTCCCAGCCTGCGGTCCCTTCTGGGAGGGCCAGACAGTAGCCAGATTGGGTAGTCAGGGGCTAGCACAAGCCACGGTGCGACTGCGCTGTGTCGGCATCGCTGGCAGCTCTGCAAATAACACCTCAGATCCCACTGAGCACGACTGGCTCTTGTGCTCCCAGCAGTGCTCCGCTAACCAAGCACGGACTTTCCTTCTGCACCAGTCTCAGCATTCAAGTGTCCTTAGTGATATTCTCCAGATAGCGTAGCGTTGAATCGAAGCTGGGGACTCGTTGGGTGGAAAACAAACAGCTAACATCTCCCCCAACCCCAGATAAAACCAACCTCACAAGTCTTTTGAAGGTCTGCATCAGCTTTTATGGAGACACAGTTATTTGCCCCACCACTGGTTTTAATGCTAGGAGAAGCGAGGCCATATGTTACAGCACAAGTTGTTTGCAAAATGCCTGGTGTGCAAATAAAATGGATTAAAAAGTTCTGTATCCTCACCAGAGTGAATGGAAGAGAAATGACTTTTTCCTGTGTGCTTACAGGTTCCAGGAGGAGTGGACTCGGGACATCATAGCTGCTGGGTGTTGCAAAGACAACGATCATCTGCCTAAGCTCAGTAAGAGCAGTCGTGCACCCGTGGAACAAGCTGTGCCAGGTCACAACACTGTGGTGCAGACAGTGAATTCAATCCATGTCGTGGAAGTCTATGGACATAAGGATAGCCATAACAAACCAAGCTGTCAGATACCTGGATAGCTGGTGTCTGAAATACGATGGCTCCTCTGGACCAAAATGAAATTTGGATAGAAATATGTGCCTTAAAGACAACAGAGAAAGTTAATTATTCATATGAATTTGAAAGTTTTCTATATTCCAGGATGGTTGTTTAACAGAAATGCTTGAAGGTCTGATACAAATAAAAAAAATGAATGTTGAGGCTGGCAGTCCATAGCCGTTCTCTACGGTGTGCTGTGTGTTGTGCCCGTGGCAAAAGCAGCTTACCATTCTTCTGTCCATCTAGGGAGAGATGGTCACCAGTTTGTACGTTTGCCTGGTGCAGTCACTGATGCCAATTCCACGTTCCTAAGATCGCAGCCTTCTTTTAACCAGTGCTTTTTTGTAAGCGTTCCAGCAGGAAAAATCCCCCGTATTTTTACACAGTAGTGTGATAGGACTCCAATAAAATGTTGCCTTTAATTAAAACCCCCCGTTGTTTCGCGTCAGGAAGGCCTTTTTGTTTCATTCAGCTGCTCGGCGTTCCGGTGTGCGTATCCCGCGGGGGCGCGGGCGGCGGTGCCCTCCCACAGCAGCCTGGCTCCGAGGAGGGCGGCAGCATCCCTGCCGGAGCGCTCTGCCTGAAGAAGTGATGCAGTTTTTTGGCAACCTGCCGCCTTTTCCTGTTATTAATCTGTCCCTGCGTGAGGAAATGAGGTATTTTTTTCTTGTTTTGTCCATTTTGTGTGGTTAAGTAACTGGTACGGCTCTTACTCTGCTGTTTGTGTGCACACACATATCGTACAGTTACAGCTTAGTTATTTTTGTTCAAGTTGAAGCCTGATTTATTCTCCTGTCACGCAGGGTATTGTCACATTCCTCTCATGATGGACATATGATCTTGTAGCGAGCTCCAGTAATTGTTTTATTGTATGGACATGGACCAGTTGGAGAGGCCCCAGAGGAGGGCCACGAAGATGATAAGAGGGCTGGAGCACCTTTCCTATGAGGACAGGCTGAAAGAGTTGGGGCTGTTCAGCCTGGAGAAGAGGAGGCTCCGGGGTGACCTTATAGCGGTCTTCCAGTACCTCAAGGGGGCCTACAAGAAAGATGGGGAGAGGCTGTTCAGGAGGGCCTGTTGTGATAGGACAAGGGGTAATGGTTTTAAAATAGAGGGAGGTAGATTCAGGTTGGATATTAGGAAAAAATTTTTTACCATGAGAGTTGTAGAACACTGGCACAGGTTGCCCAGAGAGGTGGTGGATGCTCCATCCCTGGAGACGTTCAAGGCCAGGTTGGACGAGGCCCTGAGCAACCTGATCTAGTTGGAGATATCCCTGTTCCTTGCAGGGGGGTTGGACTAGATGACCTTTGAAGGTCCCTTCCAGCCCTAACCATTCTATGATTCTATGATTCTATGATATCCCACTCATTATGAATCAGGTATCCTCCTAAGACCTTCTGTTCCAAAGTTTCAGGTTTGAAATTCAGATTATTGTAGCTTGCTGGCAGGCCTAGAAATGCCCCATTCCATCCTGGCCAAAAACACGTGCTTAAACTTCAGCTGTGGGGAAGTTGCAGCAAAGGAGCTTTTTTTTTTTTTGTTCCTAATAAGCTCAGTCCTTCTACAGAGCAGGCTGCACCCCTGCAGCGCGTTTCTTAACACGTCCTGGGAAAAGGAGAATGGATATACTTCTCAGCACTTGTTCCCATCGAGTTCTCCATTCAGTAAATTAATGCTAGCCAATGTTTATCAGGACATATTTGTGCTGTGAACCATTTTGCCTGCATTTTTTCGGTGCCCTGCCAGCTTCCGTACCTACAGGCGCTCTTGCACTTGCATCCCATGTGCAGCGTTTGCTTCTGGCTTCACGCAGGGCTGGCACCAGCCCCGTTGCCTGTCCCGTCAGCTGCAGCCTCACCAGGCAGCTGGTAGGGTCCCTCATGATGGTTGGGAGGATGCAATAAGGTCAGAAAGTTTTTGAGATGAGCTGGAGGCCCTGGCAGGGTGCCCTGAGGTGGAAAATGAGATGCAAGTGTTCAAGGCCAGGTTGGATGAGGCTTTGGGCAACCTGGTGTAGTGGAGGGTGTCCCTGCCCGTGGCAGGGGGGTTGGAACTGGATGATCTTTGAGGTCCCTTCCAACCCAAACCATTCTGTGATTCTATGAGTCTATGCAAGGACGTGAAATGTCTGCACAAAGCTCTGCACTTCAGCTGTCAACAGTGGCAGCTCCTCCTCACCGCTGGCGTGGGGCTTTCTGGCAGGACAGCTGGGAACGGCCACACTCCATCCACCAGAGAAAAGCACTCCTGGGCCCCGTTTGACTGGCATCGGTGGTGAAAGTCTGCAGGTGGATGGAAATAAAACCAAAATTTGTGAAAGGAGCATAGAGAGGAACAAAGGCTGGGAAAACCAGCCAAACATCTGAGATGCTCCTATACGTATGGCTGGTACTTCCGAATTAAATGCAAAGAAGTTAAAGACTTTTCACATAATAAAAGGTACAACTTAATAAGTATTACTAGTGCTTGTGGGACAAATGATCGGACTAGGATCTTGTAAATGACAGCTTGTTCCAGGTAGGACACGGGAGAAGAAAGGTCTGTACATTCTCTGAAGTTCAGCATGAGGTGAGATGCTCGTTAATTAACGTCTGTGGTTGAAGAATGAAGAGCGAAGGAGCATGGAGCGTGGGCTGTGGGCGTTCAGCACTGACTCTGCAGTTTGGAGGAAGAGCTGGCAGAAGTTTACTTGGGGAAATAAGAGAACCATCTTTAATATTGGGTGACTTTATTTGTCCAGTTCTCTGCTGGAAAAGTGTACAACTGTCAGGCGTTCCAGCACATGTCTTGGTGAGTTCTTTACTTCTGAAGGTGGTGAGAAGTGGGGTGGCAGTTGCTTCTGACTACAGCAGGGAAAAACTTGTTAAAAATCCAAAGTGACATTTGGATGAATGTGAAAATAAGTGACATCACGTTTTCAAGAAGAGACGGAAGAGCAGCAGAGTATGGAAAATGGACTTCAAAAAGGCAAATTTTGACATACTGAAATAACAAGCACGAAGGATCTATGCAGAACCAATCTGATAGACGGAGCGCAGGAGAGCTGGCAGTCACTGGCAGAGGCTGTTTAAAGGCATGCCAGGCAAACCCACTGCAGAGGGCAGCAAAAATCTGGTACAGCTGCCTCAGGAACTCTGAGGACATGAAAATCAGAGCAGAAAACCTCAAAAAATGGAATTGTGGCAGATGACTGAGGAGCAGCACAAAAAGAGGTGAGTGGAGCTGTTCTGTAAGGTAAGAGGTAACGTGAGTTGTTACAGCAAGCAAGGGAAATGAAAGAAGAGAAAAATACAGTGGAAGAATCAGAGAGTAAAACTACAAACTGCTTTTTTTTGAAAATGTAAAAATGGACCCAGAGATGACAGTCACTTAATGTCTACTTTGGATCAGGCATCACTGAAAAGTTCAGTGGTTAATGCAAAGAATTTTAACACGAGACTAGGATTTCAGCATAGAATAAAGCAAGAAAAACATTACAAATGCTAAGATAAATTTTATTCCATGACAAAATTCATCCTAAAGCACTGAAGAATTAGTTAAGCAATGCTTGAACCATGATGGATGCAGCTTCAGGAAATTGTGAAGGGACAAGGGAGATCTTAGAATATGGGAAAGAGCAAATCTGACTTTAGTAAGGGGAGAGCAGAGAACCTCAAAAAGTGCCAGAATGAAGGTGCTTCTCTGATACCCAGAGTGTAGCACAAATGATTAAACAATCAATTTGCAAAGAAGACATGTCTCAACCCATTAAAAAGAGTTGTAGGCATGGGAGGGAACTGTTCTGTGCTGCTGGCAGTATCGTGCCTGACTTTTTAAAAGCAGATAAGGTACACATGTGAAGGGTGGCCCAGTTATGCTTGGTCCTGCCTCTCTGCAGCTCTTCTGAGTTTCCTTCCTCTTCCCCATCTCTGTGATTATGTTAATTGGATTTCATAATTTTGCTCCCTGGAGTTTTGATTTTATCCTGTGACTTCAATATGATTGCAAGTCACTGAGTGAAATAAATTCACTTGTTGGCATGTCTGGGTCAACACCCTGAGCGAGCAAGGAGCCCAGTCCCTCTGCCACAGGTGAGGCCAACCTGAGGAATGTTTGATGGGGGAAAGTAAAACCTTGCGATGACAAGGACATTGGTAGTCACGGGAAGCAACAGAGAAGGTGGGTGAATTTACCATCCCTGTGCCAGAGCATTTATTTAGGCATCTAACACAAGAGGCAGCAAAGTGACAAGATAAGGAGACACCACCCATACTGGTTTTAGCAGATTGGTGGCTCGGTTCCCGCTGGGACGGTGCTGAGTTTATGACGGCTGCACCCCCTGCCGTTGGCTTTATTGCTCATGTAAACGTTATTTCTTGTCAGAAGGAAAATAAGTGCTGTGCAGGAAGGAGACGAAAGCAGCTGAGCAGCTAAGACAGACCTTTGAAAACTCATATTTATTGAGTTAACCCTTAAATGTTTGCCAGCCAGAGGTTTCACACGGATTCAGGCTCCCATTTCTGCTGCAGAAGACTTGCATTTCCTTACGTATTTTATGGAACTGGTGGCTTGCACGTAAAAAACAAGTTAAAATGCTACAAGCTACATAAACAAGCACAAGATAGCCCCCTCCCTGCATGAATGCTTGTAATTTAATTGATGTATGATACAGTATGACAGGATAATTCTTCATCGATTTAAAAACTGGCAGCAGTGGTTGTCAGAGCGATTGGTTATTTGCATTTCCCTCACCTTGTATTTTAAAACTGGTTTTGGAGAGCAGGCAGCTGCTGAGGCTCTTGCACTGCTCTGTTGTTAAACTTCGACTGCTTGCAGAAAACCAAAAGGCAGTTTTTAAGATCTTATGCAAAATACTAACCAGGGGATGTTTTTTTAAGCCAGCTGACATACGATTTGCTATAGGTGGGTATCTGATCCTTACTTCCTTTTAAATGAAATTCATTCTTTGAAACAAAGGAAAGAATGCAATTGCCATGCT